CTCAAAAGTTCTAATTACATCTTCTTTTCTTTCCCTGTCACAGAGTTAAAAAGTACTAGCGGTATCAAGCTTAAAATATCCTTAATAAACAAGTGTATTCATTAAAATAAATGTTATGCATTTATTGGTTGTATAACCATGTCTCGTATGTTAGTGTCTTGTAACCAAAGATTACCATCTAGTGATATACTCTGGGGAACCCGATGCTCCCAATAATTACTTACTGACTGCTAATTAATGCCTCCAAGTCAGTAGCCTTTCATAATTGCCTTTCACAGATTGTTGGTGTGAAACATGCTTTCAGTGTAAATCTACAAAGAAGAATGTAACGTCACCTTTTTTGTTCCTGTCTGTCTTCGGCCGAAATAACTTTCTACCTTTCTCATATCCTTCTTGCCGAAAGACTTCCTTAGTCCCACACCAGAGATCCAGTGAATTCACGGAGGAGTTTGGGAGGTGAAAAAGGGTCTTCTCATATGGAAGCAACAGAACTCTCACTTGATACATCACAGAAAACCTTTTCTTATTCCTGTTAGTATAATACTTTTACCTAGTTCCCCAATCCCAAATTAATTAGAGCCATACAAGTAAAGAGCTAAAACCTACCCACCCCTGAAATAACCCCCGGAACTTTAACTGTAGCATAACAGCCTTTAGGAATCTGCTAAAAATATCGGGACCTGAGGCTAGGCAGCACTAATGTAGTATCTCCAAAAACATGTGAAGTACAGCTGTCCTCATCAGGCAGCTTAGAGTTTTAATGATCAAAATCATACTGTGCACCAGGCTGCTCAGTCAAATCCTGGCACGTCTCTCTACAGCCGTCATGAGCTGCTTGAGATCCTGTTTCTGAAGCCTTTGAATTCCTTTTAAATTCCAAACAAGACAAAGCTGGTTCCTGAACATGAAGCAATCCAAAATAAGCTCACCAGGCCTTACATTTGAAAAAAAACACTTCTAAGAGCTAGTAATGACTTACATTTCTGGTCTAGAAGAAATTTCTCAACACACTCAGAAATTGTGGTGAGCTTTTCAGTAATCTTGAGACTCAAGAGGGATGTGGTGTGGCCCCAACAAACTTTTAAGATTATAATATACTCAAAATTTGCTGTGCAGAATTCTCTTTGCAGACAAGCATCTGCAGGATTCAAACATGACAGGATTTGAGCAACAGATGAAAATACAGGACTAAGTAGGAAAAGGTGGTGCTCTTCAAGGACCACAGATTAGAGCTCTGTGCAAAAAAAGGAAAACTACGCTACTATGTGTACGTGAAGATTGTATCTGGAAGTAAAAACCAGAAGATGTTTTTATCACCTGTGAATATTTGTTTGTATTTCTGCACATCAGAAGCATCTGTTCAATTCAAGCTCTGACAATAATGTACACTGGTACTCTATTCTTCACTTAAAAATACTGTAGTTCTTTGCAGTTTCAGCTTCAATTCCCACCTCAATCACCACAAAATCTGAAGGTCGCTGAATTTTGAAGCACATAGACTTTATCATTTAGAAAAAATCAGAAGTATTTTAACTCAAGGCAAGATGGCACTCCAGATCACTGCTTGTAGTAGAGAGTTCCGTTACGGTGGAGCAGAATTCTGTTGTTCTCACTCAGTGTTTAAAACACAGTTTGTTGTTGTGTTTTTTTTTTTTTCCCTCTCATTTCCTATATAACAAAGACTTATTGGAAGAAAAACTAAATGAGATGCTGCAATAAGTTAGTTGATATCTGTTAGCACTAGTGCAAAGGCAACAAAACCAACTGCAATTATGATGAAGGTATTCACAGATGCACCATTGTCCTCGTTTCTGGAGAAGCAGTGCAGATGATATATACAATGTCTCTAATACCAGAAAAATATTAATACATATTAACCTATCTACCCTGCCTATCTTAACCTATCTACATCACCTTAAACCTACATTAACAATAAGTTGAAGATAACACTTAAGACCTTTGTCTGCTTGTAATGAACAGACTTTTTAGGATTAGCTTCTGATTTGTAACTTTGGTGTGCTGGAACAAGTCTCTTGTAACAGTTCAGGTACATATGTTGTAAGGAACACTGCAAAATGCAATCCCAGCTGGAAATACCAGTTTAAAAAAACATTAGATAACAGATCTGCTACATGTTTTTTAATTGTATTAATGGCTGGCAAAAGTATTTGTTGCAGACAGTACACAACTGTGTACAGAAAGTGCGTAAAAACTTAGTAAAAGCTAGGAAATACAGGTTCTATTTTTCAACAGCTGTAACTAAGCACCAACAATATAAAGTCTAGTTAAAGTTGCATGGCAACATTCACTACAATTTTTACAATAAAATTTATCACCTGTGATAGCAATAGCGCCAGCTGCAGCAATATTACAATGGATTCAAAATATTTTAGCAGAGGTGCACAAAGACTATGTTCATCTATGGTTTCTTCTCTCACAGTAACGTGGCAAGCCCTATAACGTTTTTATAAATTAGAAAAGGAAGAAGTCTTGTGTCATGTGGTTGGTGACTCTTGCCAATTCACTCTGCAACTATCATAAATTTGATTTGCTTATTAGCAATCATCAGTGTATCAATATCGACAACTAAATTGTAAGAACTCAACTTCAGTGCCGTTTGCTAAACACTTAGCACAGTTTTATTGTATGTATTATATTTTATTTATTGTATGAAATCTATGCAAATTCTTTTTAAATAGAAAAGTATGCTTATCTTATTCTGAAAAACATATGAGGAAACATAGTAATAGAACACAAAATCTCAGTGGGCAGAAGGAATTAAACAAGTATCTTGACTACACGTCCACTATGCAAAACTAATATTCAGCATTCCACCAAGAATTAAAAGCAGATTGCCTTTTATCAATGAAAACAAACCCATCCTGAAAATGAAAACAGCCACAGGATGTTTTCCTTCAAATATTTCAAAACTCAAGTTAATGAAAAGGTAAACAATGTGGTCTGTATTTCATGTGACCTACAGAATATTGCTACGGATAGAAAACCAATGATTTTTTTTTTTTTTAATGGCATGTATAATAACTAACTGTGGGAAAAGAAGAAACTATTGGAAAATTAACTGTTGTTAAAACACAGAAGAGACACTTTCCTTAGTCAGGGATATGCTATGGCCAACCAATTGCAAAGAATAATGTTACAATGGCTTAGCCACTACTTGTCAATAGTACTGTAGTAATTAATTGTATATGTTCTTCTACTGCTGTGAGGTTAAAATCCCTCTATGGGTTTAAAAAAGCATCAGCACCCATCGATAAACTTGATTGGAAACATGAGACTCATTCACTACAAGGTGTGAGATTAACAGACTTTCATACCACTGAAAAACAAGACCAGCAGCAGAAAGCAACAGAAACAACAGTTCTAAAACAATTCCATGAACATATCTGTATTACCACTTTTCAAGGATTATAGCTAAATGAAAGCCTATTTTAAGTAAATATGGAAACCATGCAGTCAGCCATGGCTATAAATACATCAAAAATAACAGGACAAAATAAACTAGTAAGATTCATAATATTCCTTCTGTATTCTTGGCAATAAAACTGTCCTTGTAGAAAATAAAATTCCAATTGCAAATTACTTTGAAACAATAGCATCAATAATTTCATTTTGAGGCTCCTCTACTTTATGCAACCAGCGTAAGACTGATGCATTTGAATTCTTGGCAGAAGAATCTCTTACAGGAAGTGACAAAATGTCTGTTTGAATTTAGCATCTCTCTTCAGGCATGAAATCTCTCTCCACGTGTCCTCACACACCCAGAATCTTTACTTCCACATCATTTCTAACATTACAGTAACCAGTTTCTGAGTAGCTCACCTTCAGACTGGAAAATCTTGGTCAACTAAATTTAAAAGAAAAATGCTGCTTTTTAGCTCTGTGTCAGTATATCTGTAACCTTTTCCTTACTCTCTTCTTATGAGGAAGAAAAGCTGTAAGATGCTTCCATCCAAAGACTGCTCCAGAAATACCAAATTCCTATGATATTTTCCTATTAACTTGATTTTGCTCACATGAAACATGGAAATCCTGCTGCACACTATGCTAATAGCTGAACTACAATCACATATGACTGTGCTTTGCAACAGCATGGTTATATTACAAACTAATGATGTCATTATAAGAGGAAATGACCTAATTCTACATTAAAACTTAGCCTGTGGACTATAAGCATTTCAGATTCCCTCAGTGGACCACCCATAGAAATTTAAAATAATGTGGAGCAAAATACAAAATTTCATGTATCGATATTTTTTGATTCCGAATTGCTTTCTAGCATCACTTCTGCTGCACAAACCTTATAATGGTACTTATTTCTGCCCTTCCTCACTCTTCTTTTAAAGTCTCCTGTCTGCTCTCAACCTCAACTGTTTATTTCAACAAGCAACTTCCCACTTGTATGTGTATGTATCGTCTCTTACTGACATCACTAGTCAGACAGTTAGTATTTAATAATGTACCATCAGTGGGCTTCAGGAGAAACATTGCACTGACATTAATAAGCCACAGTGTTAAAATTCCACTTTTAGTTCAGGCTAATGTTTGTCCCGTTTTGTTCACAAGTGGAAACTTCTCTCTGAATCTAAAAGTATTCAGAGTCTTTTTCCAAATGTTGTTGAAAGCTTAGATTATTTACATTCACTGAACCATGTATATGTACTATATAAACAAACCAAATCTATTTATAACGACTCAGAAACCACTACTATGCTTTCTGGTATGCTATTCCAGTTACCAGGCCCACCAGCCTAGATGACAAGCCACTTGTGCTAAACAGCTACACAATTTTTTGTAGCTATGTCCTAATGAAAAAATTTGCTTAGGAAAGGAAGCAAAGTCTACAAAGCATATGTAATATAACATCCAGAACACAATGTGCAAATGCACGTTCTCCTACCCTTTTCCTAGGCACGTTTTCCTAAGGAGTGCTCCCACGCTCACAGAAGCGGGGGCAAGAAAACAAAAATGACAAGGCTTACCTTTCTGCAGACACTTTCAAAATTAACTTCAGTCCGAAGAGCAAGTCTGGTAACTTCATCTGGCTTTATTTCCTGTGGACAAAAGGCATATTTATTCATCTTATGATCAGACTTTACGAAATCTTTCTAAGGTTCCCCTTCCTTATAAACATTCATGAAAATTAGTTTGTTACACAGAGATTTTTTTTCGTGTGTGTATGTAAATACTACATTTACTGACTTCCAAAACCATTACTTACACCTCATCTGACTGTATCCACTACCACTAAGGGGAACCGAGATTTCAACAGCAAAATAGGCAGAAAGGTGATTTAATTTACAAAAATGTTTAAATTGACTGTATGTTGTGCTACAAATAAACTTTGGAACATTTGAAATGTCCCACTTGTCTCAGACTCTGAGGTTACATCAGAACTTATCAACATATGTGAATATATACGTTTAAGATGACAAAAATGAAGTAGAAAAGAAAAAAAAATTCTGTTTTCTGAAGAGACTGACTACATATGCAGTTTTCATTCCTGGACTTGAGCATTTCTACTGGCAGCTGAAATAGAGGAATGAAAATCCTGGACAAGTGGATTTTTTTATAAGTTGAATACTTTGTGAAACACGCTCCCATGACAAATTTCTCATTATTTTAAAATACATATTTATATATGTTGTATTACAAAATGCCTTATTAATCTTATTAATTGAATACACTGAATATTGGCTTTTTCCTTCTAGGGCACTATGTCAAATAAATCATGTTACATACTCGTTGTTTGCCCGATGGCCATTTCAAAAGCACTTAACTACTGTTAACTAGTGTTATGCAGAGCCCATATAACTACCACAAATTCATAGTTCTGAAAAATGAAAAACTTCATACAAGTAAACCTAGTTTCTGATAGATTTTATCTAGATATAGCCTATATCACAAAGCTGGTGGGTTCAACACCTGAATAAAATTATCCACTTGCTGAATTGCTAAAACTCTAGGAGTAGATGACTTAAATATAAAATACAGTAATTTTGCAACACTTGTGGTCAATAAAGAAGAAAACCTAAACTGGAAGTGCCCATGCAAATTATTATAGTTTGAGAAAACGAGACATGTCCAAGTGCTTGGGCTGCACCTATAGTTAACATTATGCTCAGATCTGGACAACACAGATGCCAACTGAAAACCGTAAAAAACAACTGCTGTGACTCCTGGCTCAGAATAACGAATGTATTAGCAAAGATGCAAATAAAACTCAAGTTATGGGAGACACGATAACTTAGAAATGTCCAGAAAAAAATAAAGTACTATATAATAGGGAAGCACGTTTATGTTCAATAACCAAATTACATTTTTTCCTTTCTCTCTTTTCCCTACTTAATCATCCTTGGTAAGTATTCCAACAGTTTCATTTAACATCCTGCTCCACTGTTAAGTTTCCGTATTCTACCCTGTTTCTGTCCTAAATCCAGAGCAGTCTGCACACTTAGATGTAACTTCAGGAAGAACCAGGTAGATTACTTTCTTACAGAGGGTCATGCCTTGTATCTCAAGATCTTATGTTGTCCTTCCTTCTACACATTAGATACCTAACAGAGAGTCTGCATCCTACCTGGATCTTTAAGGTGTTGCATAAATCACATGTCTTAAAACTATAAGCAAGCATATACTAATGGGAATAAAGTAACAGAACAAAATTAAATTAACAAAAGAAAAAAATCTGTTTTTGTGAATGTCAGAAGAGCTTCATTCCTGACAATGAGGTCTAGAAGTCTGCAAAATCATCTCCCAAAGGTACTGGTGGAAGCCCAATCACTTGGAGGACAGAATTCAGACTGGAAAAACACTGGTGGATGTAGGAAACAATCTTCTACTGGCAGATGGACAGCTGGATGACCTAATAGAATCTAGAGATGGAAAAGACCTATGATTCAGTTTTCCATGACTTTTCAAAGCATTTCACAGATGGTGAAAGTAGGACACAGTGGTTAAGTGACAGGCTTACTGTCACATAGTTGGTTGGGGGCTACGAGTGAAGCTCAGGAACCCAGTGCTATTCATTAAATCAAGCTGTTGCTTTATAAAAAAAAAAGATAATTTATCATCCCAAATAAAACTGCCTTTTTCCTGTCTCTTTAGGATTTAAATGCAGCAATCTGGTTTACAGATGAGGAAGGTAAACTTCGGCAATCCCCACGGTAGAATGTCAAAGGTTAAATTTTTATATGACAATATTGCAAAACTCCCTTAACATTGCAGAATCATGCATAATAATGGAAAAAGAATAACAGTTTGGAATGTGAAGTCATGAATGGGGCTTCACTGAAATGCTTAGTATACAGAACGAGGCCAAGAACCTCAAAGTTAAGGCTTAAACTCTCTAATTTATAAAGCATCTACTTGACTTCTCTTAGCTTTAAGGCAAAACAAGCATTTTTGAATTAGATAGTATTCAGCAGCATCCTGGTTTCGTAAAGGCAGCCATATAAGTCAAGTTATTGGAACAGACAGACCTTTCTTCTGTGTATATTAATGATCAGTACCAGACAGGAAAATAGAAAAATGATATAGTGATATTTTTCCCAGCACAGTCTTCTCAACTTTGAGATCCATGTAGCTCAAGAACTCTTGACTCACAAAAAGAATCTTTCTATTGAATATCTACTATGAAATCTTCTTCCACCAATTATGTTAAGGGATGTTTTAAGTGACTGCCACTTCTGGCATCTTTGGAACTCGACCAGGGATTCCTCCTGCCCTGCTGCTGGAGCCCAGTCCAGTCCATCCAGAGACCTAGAGGTCTCCATCTCAGGTTCACAGAAGTGGCAGTTGCCTTCTCATCAGCAGGTTCAACCAGTACTGAAGCTCAGCTATGCAGCTAAGCTGCCACAGACAAGCCACTGCCTTGACTGTCCCCACATATAATACTCCCAGGACTCACATACGCTTAAGTACAGTCAGACAAGATCTCTTCCTCCTTTTTGTCCGGCCAGGACTGAAGATCACTATTGAGAGCACACCCCCTCCCACCACCTCTAGATTCATGAGCACATGTACATTCATGGATCTCTCAAATACTAGCACAACATACCCCTCTGTTCATCTAATCCCCTCTGCTTGGGTCCAGAGTTCTTTCATCCATCTCATGGGCCTCCTATTTGCTGGCTGGCAGCAAGTCGCCAGCAGGCAGACGCATGCATTGACACTCTTGTCTTACAGCCACCCCACGCTCACAGCTCCCTCCTGAACACCAGCACAGGCTCTCTACCTGATACCCCCGCCTAGGCCCAGCGCCTTCCACTTGCTGATAATCCAACCTGAAGTTTCCTAGTGAATTACACATGCCAAAGAGACACATGTGACGTCAACCCACATTGCAAGGTACGGTGAAAATACAGACACTCTGCCGGCTTCCGTCAGTGGCAGGCACCAGGCACATGAGCTGAAATCTGCCGTCCCAGTCCAGATGCTGCATCGAGAGCCTCACTTGCTTCGCTCATCCCAGTCTCATCCATAGCTGTGCTCAGGACACACACTGTTCCTCTCCTTCCAGCTGTGACCTGTGCTGCTCCTGCCCCTGTGGCTGGAGCTGAGACCCTCACCCGCTCCTGATGCCACGGGCTCAAGGTACCGGCATCCCTGGGCTGACTCCAGTTGCTCTCCCTGTATCCACCCATGCTGATCCTCCCAGCAGCTGGCACCTAGTCCTTACAGTGCTCACACACATAGGATAAAGAGTGAGATTACACAGAGAGTTAAGAAAAGATTTATAAAAAAGATGACAGACGCTGGTGATCAGACAGGGCTTGGTCAGATACTGGCACTGGCTGGGACTGGCCCCTCTAATACCCACTCCCATCTATGTCCCCTCAACACTGTTTAGTAAGTTTCACATAGTCCATAGGTCCCTCCGTAACCCAAATCCTCATGTTCATCTTGTCTCCCCTTCTTATCAGTTACGAAGTCCACGATGGCTTTCCCCAAAGCAATACCGATAGTTTCTTAATGGTCTGTTACTTAGTGACGGGAGACTTTTTGGTCTTTGCCACTGTCTCTGTTATCCCTTGTCCAACAGCTCTGCTCCTCTCTGTGTTTTTGTTCACCCCTTTCCCTTAGTATTGAAAAGGTCCATGACTGGAGGTTCGCAATGAAGAATGCTCTCACCATAGAATCGTAGAACGGTTTGGGTTGTAAGTGACCTCAAAGATCATCTAGTTCCAAACCCCCTGCCATGGGCAGGGACACCCTCCACAAAACCAGGTTGCTACCATCTTCCATGTGCCCTCACAGATTATATCTGCATTTTGAAACCACATTAATGCTTGGTATCGTAACATCCTGTGCCACTAAGTTTCCAAGATTAATGAGGTGCTATGTTCTAAGCGAAGAGGGAATACAAAAGTTAAGAGAAAACCAGGTAAGTACATTATTTTATGAAGTATTTGGTCCACAATAATCACAGATTAGGTAAATGCAGACAAAAGCTCCCTACCAACCAACACACAGACTTTCCTTCTCTCCTTGAAAATAATCTCTGACAGACACTTTAAACAACTTTCAAATATCTTAAAAAAAAAAAAAGCCTTAAAAATAAGGTGTTGAAGTATTGGCTGCCTCTTGAGGGATGATGAAAAACAAGTGTTGGGATCGACATTACCCATAAGGGTAATTGTCATAGGTGATTCCCTTCTGAAGGGAACAGAGGGGCCAATATGTCGACCGGACCCAACCCACAGGGAAGTCTGCTGCCTCCCTGAGGCCCGGGTCAGGGACATCACTAGGAAACTCCCTGGTCTGGTATGGCCCTCTGATTATTATCCATTACTGGTAATGCAGGTCGGTACTGATGAGGTAACAGAGAGAAGTCCAAAGGCCATCAAAAGGGACTTTAGGGCATTGGGGCGATTAGTCCAGGGGTCAGGAGCCCAGGTAGTATTTTCTTCAATCGCTTTAGTGGCAGGAAAGAATATAGAAAGGAACAGAAAAACAGACTTGATTAACAGATGGCTCAGAGGCTGGTGCCACCGATGGAAATTTGGTTTCTTTGATCATGGGCAGGCTTTCGCTGAACCAGGTCTGATGGCACCAGATGGGACTTGCCTTTCTCAGAGGGGAATGAGGGTCTTAGCGCAAAAGCTAGCTGGGCTTATTGACAGGGCTTTAAACTAGATTTGAAGGGGGAGTGAGGGAATATCAAGAATGATAAAGATATGCTCGAAGTACCTGTAGAACAGAAGAAGCAAATTCCAGCCGCTGCAGCCAGGAAGACAGATTTATCTGGGGCCCAACTTAAATGCCTTTATGCCAATGCACGCAGCACGGGGAACAAGCAAGAGGAGTCAGAAGTGTGTGCGCGCCTGTTGGGATATGATCTTATTGGCATCACGGAGACGTGGTGGGATGAATCCTATGACTGGAGTGTCAGAATAGAAGGGTACAGGCTCTTTAGGAAGGATAGGCAGGGGAGAAGAGGAGGAGGAGTTGCCCTCTATGTCAAGGACCAGCTAGAGTGCATGGAGCTGCACCTGGGGACGAATGAGGTCCCGACTCAGAGCTTATGGGTTAGGATTAAAGGGAGAGAAGGGACAGAGGATGTAGTAGTAGGGGTCTGCTACAGACCACCTGACCAGGAGGACTGGGTGGATGAGGCCCTCTACAGACAGATAGGAGCTGCCTCACGTTCACGAGCCCTGGTCCTCATGGGGGACTTCAACCACCCTGGTATCTGTTGGAAGGACAACACAGCAAGGCACAGGCAATCCAGGAGGTTCCTGGAATGCATGGATGATAACTTCCTTCTCCAAGTGCTAGAGGAACCAACGAGGAGAGGTGATACGCTGGACCTTGTTCTCACTAACAGTGAAGGGCTGGTGGGGAACGTGACGCCCAAGGACAGCCTTGGCTGCAGCGATCATGAAATGGTAGAATTCAAGATACTTAGAGAAGCAAGGAGGGTGCATAGCAGGCTCACTACTCTGGATTTCAGGAAAGCAGACTTTGGCCTCTTCAAGGATCTCCTCGCTAGAGTACAATGGGATGAGGCCCTGGAGGGAAGAGGGGCACAAGAAAGCTGGTTAATATTCAAGGATCACCTCCTCCAAGCTCAGGAGTGGTGCATCCCAACAAA